AAAAGTATAATCGCTAGATTTTATTTTCACGGAATCATCCCTTCAGCGAAAATGGCGAGAATAAATTCCAAGCGAAAATAAACAGGAAATGACTTCTGTGGCAAAATGTGTCTATGCATAATCAAACGCGCTCTCAACTATGCATAGTCATTCGAGATAAATCTGAAGCATTCTGTTTGATATTTCAACTAAATCGAGAAAGACAGGTAAGACAATATAGAATTGTGTATAAATGATTATGCATAGTTGAGAATTTCAAACTCTGGCAGCAAAGAAAGGAAATGCAGCCCTGGCGTTTGAGGGCGCGAACGCATGCGCAGATTGACACAACTTGAAGGCTGGTGTCACAGAGAATAGAAAATTTCGTCATAAATGCGTAAAATCTTGAAAAATATATGATTTGTATGTAATCGGACAACATTTTGCGATAGTTCAATGTCTTATAAGCACTCGTAACTGGTTTGGACAAGGTATTTTGTATTTTGAGGTATGATTTTCGGCAGCTAGAAAAATGTGCATATTTTGTTTCCTCCCTTGTCTTATATATAGTGCAAGCTGATCGGCCGGAAACAAGTATTAGTGATTTTTGTGGTTTCGGAGCGTGATGATTAAATATAATAACATATGCTTGCTTTGCATTACTAAACTGTTTTAATTCCATAATTTCTATTATTTTGAGCAAGGGCAAGGTCCTGTACCGGGACAGATCTATAAGCAGTACCTACACACGAATTGGTGACGTCATAAAATACATGACTTTCAATCGGGGTCGTTTCCTCGGTATATACGAATTGGTATATACAAATTACAATAAAGATACTTAAGACATTACACATAAGGTAAAACAAATCATGTGACAATATAATGATAATAACGGTAATAAATCCTAGCTTAACAGTTGAACAGAACGATCATATAGCCAGTCGGGTCACGCCGAGGGTCACGAACTGTGTTCCAAAATGGCCGTGTGGTTGAAACTGGGTCATGGCGTGACGGGTGAGGCATCATTGTACACTCACAAAATCATAATAAAACGGGGAAGTGGTTGCATATTACGGCGTAGCCAACATGGGAAATGAAAAACCGCCCACACTAGATACACACTTACCAGAACCGAAGCAATCGAAAACTAGCAATCGTTTTGGCTTTTCCCTTCAACTCATCGGAACATTGAAGTAGTTAGCAAAATGAACACCACTCAACGACCAACGTCGTGGCGTGGTACACAAGCGTGCCGCATCATACTTAAACAAAATGTTAGATCGTTCAAACCCCAACGCAAAAACAACCACGATAAAAATAAAACTAGGAAAAAATAAAACAAAACCGTCAACAATGTCAAATACACGATATAAATAACACAGCGAAAACAAGATAAAATACACAAGATAAATAACACAGCGAAAATAAGATAAAACAGAGGTTTGCTATTTGTAACAAGTCAATTGATAAGGTTTAAGTAACACTTCGAAACTCTTGTCTCTAGCGACCAACGTCGTGGCATAGTACACAAGCGTGCTATTAAAACGAAATAAAAAGCGAAAAACGTGGTGGGTTCGAGTCCCGTCAAATAAAAAAGAAAGAAATCGAACACATTAAAATTAATACAAATTAACCATCATCGCAGTCTTTGACAGTTCAAGTTACGACCAAGTTAAAGCAAGAAAATAGAAGATCGACACAAGGTAAGTTTTGGCAAAGACAAGTAATAGTATTTTCAAACACATTGGAAAATTTTACAAATATACATAAACGATTTACTACTTAGACTTCAGTAAGCACTAAGTTCGTGAGAAAGTATTTTATTGCATTGTTTTGGAAACATAGTGATGGCAATACAGGAGTAATTAGTAGTACCAACACAACCAGTTGTATATTACGCCCAAAACTGACAACCTTGATTTCGCAATATTACTATTTACTGTCAAAGTTTCATTTATGTGGATGTAATACAGTGAGTTAACACACGTATAACGAAATCGTCGTTTCAGGAGAATAGTACTTTTTCAAAGAAAATAAATACAACAATCGCTTGCAGTGTTTAGTGCAAGCATTTCTTACGCCTTAGAAATCA